ATCCTGATACCTGAGTGCCAGAGAGGTAGCCATTCCAGAAATAACAAACCCAGAGGGAGACAAAAGGGTGTGATGAACTTGGCTGGGAAACAGGGAAATGTAAAGATCTCTTTTGTGACACTCGCTGGGTGTTTGGTGGAGGGCAAGGGGAACCATGGGGCAGGGTCCAGGATGCTCAGATTACTGCCACCAGACCTCCGTTCAGGATGTGATCGTGATGTATTGGGGAGTGTAACCTGGGGGATTAGCAGCTAATAAAACTTTGGGTTCTCTTTTGTCAGGGCTTCCATCCTGTTCCACCTGGTGGCAGGTGGGAGTCCTGTCGCGACAGTCTTCAATCCAGACCAATTTGCTCTGCTATTCCTGGCCGGTGTCCTTGTTTCTTGTCCAGGGGAGCCTCAGATTTCTCCGTTAACAATTCTCCACGGTGCCGTGCACTGAAATTAACTAAATTTGGGGGAATGGGCAGGTCTTTGCACCCCGGTAGCGCATATGCTAAAGACAGCCCTGGAGGGGGCTTTGACTCCCCAGCGCAGCCCAGCATAGGATGGGGTCTGCGCAGAAAGTGAGGGGTGGTGACACCTGGGGCAAGGAAAGGCAACCAGCGCTGGGCTTCCCGGGGCGCCATGCAGCGGAGCGGGGGGGTCGGCAGTCACCCCTCCAGTCCAGCCCTGGGGGTCTTAACGGGAAAATCCGAGGGCTCCCTTGGACAAAAAGAAAGACACCAACCAGGATAACTTGGAGCAAAACAGCAGCCTGTGGGCTTGGTCTTTCTTGATCTGTTGCAACAGGGGGCTCCCCTCACTTGCAGGAGTGGGGAGGGACCCAGAAAAATGGTGTGCCAGGCCTTAGAAAGACTTTTGAAATTGCCACCCTGTAGATCAAGACCACCCCCATTCTCTCCTCCCATTTCTGAATTCTAGGATGAGTTTCCTTACTTCCTGCAAAGCCCTTTCCCCTGCAAACTGTTCCTCTGGTTTCTGGCCAGGGAAGGAGATGCTCTGAGCCCAACCGATAGCCTCACCCCCAAAAGGAGATCTGGGCATTGAGGTAGCCAGGGCAGCTGCCCCCTAAATCCATAGAAAAATCATAATCTGAGGTTTTGCCAAGCAAGAGAGGGCTCAGCTGGGGGACTTGGCTTTGCAAGGGTTAAAGGGATCTGAGCTGCCTTCCTAGAGAGGCCAGGAAGCGGGGGGGGGGGGGCAGGTCCTCCAGAGCCAAGGCCCCACCCTCCCCAGTCATTTCCTGCTTGGGTGTCACACATGGGATCTGGTGAGTCCCTCTCTCTCTGGGATCTGGCGAGTCTCCCTCTCTCTGGGATCTGGTGAGTCTCCTCTCTCTGGGATCTGGTGAGTCTCCTCTCTCTCTGGGATCTGGTGGGGGTCCCAGGGCTGCAGCAGGGGAGGGGGCTGGGGGGACCCCAAGTCAGGGAGGAGAGGGTCCTGCCAGGGAGGGGCCCGGTCTGCCACGCTCTCCTTCCTGCAGAGCAGAGGGTCCCAAACTCATTTGGCCTTCCGCCCCCCCCAAGCTTCAGAAAAACAATGACTCCCCCGAAATCTCCTTCTTTAAACAAAGGAGTCCCATTACACAACAGAGGAAACATGTGCAAATGGTTTTCCAAAGCTGGACGAGGAGGTGGACTAGCCCCCCCCCCAAAAAAAAACCCCACAGGGAGGAAGGAAGGAAAGGTGGGAGAGAAAGGAGAGGAGTAAAGAGAGGGATCCCAGCCCAGAGTCCGGCTGCTGCATTGGGGACCAGTTTCCCAGTGTCTCCCAGGGCAGCTCCCCACGGAGGCCACGGCAGCAATCCCCTCGCACCCAGAGCAGGGCATCCCAGGAGACAAAAGCAGGGGAGTGGGGGTGGGGGGAGAACAACTCCTGAGGACCCCCGGATGAGGACCCCCACTAGAGCCAAGCATCCATTTTTTTCAAGATACAAATGACTCCCTTCTCAGTCAGTTCTGACTTCATGCATTGACTGGAAGGGAGGAGCAACCAGGCTGATTCATCTCCCAGAAATCCCTTCATTTCCTCCACATTTTGCATTGCAATCTTCTTTCTAGGAGAGCTAGAGGCTGCTTTCTTCGTCTCCTCCTTCTCCTCCTCCTCCTCCAGATACCTCATGGTATGGGCTGTTATGCAGTCCAGCCCTGGTTCTAATAATAATAATAATAATAATATTTATACTCCACCCACTCTGGGTGTCTCCCAATAGAATACAAAAAACAGTATGAAACATCAAACATTTAAAACTTCCCTCAACAGGGCTGCCTTCAGATGTCTTCTAAAAGTCAGATATTTGTTTATTTCCTTGACAGCTGATGGGAGGGCGTTCCACAGGGCGGGTGCCACTACTGAGAAGGCCCTCTGTCTGGTTTCCTGTAACCTCTTTCCTCGCAATGAGGGAGCCGCCAGAAGGCCCTCGGAGCTGGACCTCAGTGTCCGGACAGAACAATGGGGGTGGAGATGCTCCTTCAGGACTACTGGGATGAGGCCGTTTAGGGCTTTCAAGGTCAGCAGCAACTCTTTGAATTGTGCCCGGAAATGTACTGGTAGCCAATGTAGGTCTTTCTGGATTGGTGTTATGTGGTCACGGCGGCCACTCCCAGTCACCAGCTCCCAGTCTAGCTTCCGCATTCTGGATTGCGGTAGTTGTAGTTCTGGGTCACCTTCAAAGGTAGCCCCACGTAGAGCGCATGGCAGTAGTCCAAGCGGGAGATGAGCAGAGCATGCACCATTCTGGTGAGGCAGTCTGCGGGCAGGTAGGGTCTCAGCCTCCATACCAGATGGAGCTGGTAGACAGCTGCCCTGGACACAGAATTGACCTGCACATTCATGGACAGCTGTGAGTCCAAAATGACTCCCAGGCTGCGTACCTGGTCCTTCAGGGGCACAGTTGCCCCATTCAAGACCAGGGAGTCCCCCACACCTGCCCGCCAAAAGAGTACTTCTATCTTGTCAGGATTCAACCTCAATCTCTTAGCCCCTGTCCATCCATCCACCAACCAACCGCCTCCAGGCACTCACACAGGACCTTCAACGCCTTCACATGTTCTGATTTAAAGAGAGGTAGAGCTGGGTGTCATCTGCATACTGATGAACACCCAGCCCAAACCTCCTGCTGATCCCTCCCAGTGGCTTCATATATATGTTAAAAAGCATGGGGGAGAGGACAGAACCCTGGGGCACCCCACAAGTGAGAGCCCAAAGGTCTGAAGACTCATCCTCCACCACCACTTTCTGGACATGGCCCAGGAGGAAGGAGATTAACCACTGTATGACAGTGCTCCCAGCCCCTCTAGCCGGTCCAGAAGAATGCCATGGTCGATGGTATCAAAGGCCGCTGAGAGATCCAGCAGCACTAGGAAGCAGCTTTCACCTTAGCCCGCCGGAAATCATGAACCAGCGCGACCAAGGGAATTTCAGTCCCATGATGAGGCCTGAATCCCGACTGGAAGGGATCCAAATGGTCCGCATCCTCCAGGTGTGCCTGTAGTTGTTCAGCAACCACTCGCTCAATCACCTTGCCCAAAAATGGAAAATTTGAGACTGGGTGATAGCTGGCTATATTGGCCTGGTCCAAATATATTTTTTTAAGAGGTGGTTTAATAGCTGCCTCTTTCATCGGGTCTGAGAAGGCTCCCTCACAGAGTGAAGCATTCATAACCCTGCAGAGCCCATCACCCATCCCTTCCCGGTTGGCTTTTATGAGCCAGGATGAGCAAGGAGGCAGGTGGTCAGTTTCACTTGTCCAAGCAGCCTGTCCACATCCTTGGAGGTAACAAACTTGAACTGATCCCACGCAAACTGACTAGACAGAACTCTAGCACTCTCCCACCCTGGCCCTGCTCCCACGGTGGAGTCTACCTCTTTCCAAATCTGAGTGACTTTAACTGGAAAAAACTTTGCCAAATCATTGCAGGAGATCTTAGGGTCCTTTTGAGGCCCCAATGATGCAGGTGGTTCAACTAAATTGTGAACCACCTGCAATAGTCTCCTGGTGTTGTTTTCTGCAGATGCAATAGAGGCAGTGAAGAAAGCCATCGTCACTAGCTAGGCTCTGACGCTGAGCTCTAACCCATATCTGGTCAGATTCAGAGTGCGTTTTCTGCCACCGACACTCTAGCCATCTCAGTGATTGTTTCATCGCCCTCAGCTCCGGGGAAATCCACGGGGCTGTCCAGGCTCCATGTATCGGAGAGGTCGCTTTGGAACCAGGCCATCGGTAGCCCTGGTTAACTCCACATTCCAGGGACCACACGGAAATCAGCTGAAAGGCCATCAACATGGGATAAAACATCCCCTCCTCCTTTCTGGAAACCATTTGGATCCATTAAGTACCGGGGGTGGGCCATCCAAATTGGTCCCTCCTCCCTGCAGAGGGAAAGGGTTGTGGAGAAGTCCAGTTGCACCAGGAAGTGATCCGACCATGACACTTCTTTTGTTTGGTTTTCACTTCATGTCAGATCACCCACATCCATAGAGGTGAACATGCCAGGTCAAGTTCTCCATCCAAGTCGTGGATGGCAGTGGTCTTATGAATCATTGACCTGGCATTGCACAGCAGCCCCTTCAGGTCACGTGGGTCTCCCTTGCTGATTCCAGTATCCTTCTGGTCAAAACCAGACCCGGAGGGAAGGATAGTCCTCAAACAATGACTAAGCCTGCTTCCTCGGTAATGACGTGGTCTGGTCTTAGTGTAACTCTTCCTCCTACCCGTGATCACTGTGATCGAGTGTCCCAGTGCTTCCCCCCCCCGGGGACCCGCCCCCTGCCATTCTGTTGAATAGGGCCGACTCCCAGACAGCCCTGACCCTCTCACCTAAAGAACAAAACTATACAAACTATACAAAAAATAAAAATATTTACTAATAATAATAAAAACTTTTACATAAAAAAGCATTTGCTTTGTAGGATTGGCAAGAGCTTCTCATTAAGACAGAACTTGGCAGAAGACCAAAGGGTTCCTTCCGATCTCTGAGAGGCTTCCAGAGAGCACAGATGGATGAGCGAGACTCAGCTGGCCCTGGAGCAAGAAGAGGCAATGCCAACCAAACTGGGAGTGGGGGATTCTGGGAAAACTCTGTGCTGAAGATTCTGGGTGAGGAGGACACCTTCCACTCAGAGGTGCAGATCCAGCAGTTTGGGAGGTTCTGCTTCCAGGAGGACAAAGGAGCCCGAGAGGTTTGCAGCCGACTCTACCACCTTGACCGTCAGTGGCTGAAGCCAGAAAGGCACACGAAAGCTGAGATGCTGGACTTGGTGATCTTGGAGCAGTTCCTGGCTGTCCTTCCCCCGGAGATGGAGAGCTGGGTGAGGGAATGCGGAGCAGAGACCAGTTCCCAGGCGGTGGCCCTGGCCGAAGGTTTCCTCCTGAGTCAGGCAGAGGAGAGGAAGCAGGCAGAGAGAAAGCAGGTGAGAGAGACTTTCCTCTGGATACTCCAAAGGGGCTCCAAACAGAATGGAGAACATCCCATAATGCTCTACTGATGCCCATTCTTTTTCTAGGAATGAGATCTAACACCCATAAAGTTTTTGTCTTTTTCATTCTCTTTCTAATATTTCTCACCTTTCTCTGATTTCAATCCTTGTTTCTTTATCAGGAAAAGGATCATTTTGAGGAAATGGACCTGGATTCCTGTGAGGCAGAGAGGCCTCTGTTGGACACCAGAGAGAGGCCACTGGGTAAGGAGGAAGGTGGCTTTTCTCCATTTGGTCTCATTCTGTTGGTTTTCCAACTAATCTGTGGGTTCTTTTTTTGGGGGGGAGGGAGGACAGTTGGGAACAAGGGTCCAAAGGAAGGGAGAAGTAGTTTTGCACAACTAACATATGAAATGGCCACAAATGTCCAACTGCACTCAGCAGGAAAGGCTTTCTGAAAGGCCCATCTGTCATTAGAGATGCCCTGTTTCACCTGTGAGAGAAGCAGCCACTCCTGGTATCCTGCTTACGTTTTTTCTCTTGCAGGAGACAGAATGATGCTGGCAAAACCTCCTGATCCATCTTTTCATGGGGGCAGAAGGGAAGCAGCGACTGTGGAACCAGATCAGGTCAGGGGAAGCTGCCTTGTGGGGACAGAGGCCGAGGGATGGAGTATCGTCATGGACTGGTTGGGCACAGGGGAATGGTGGGAGGAAGCAGCCGGGGAACCAGGAAGGGAGGACGTCTTAGAGACCAAGGAGTGGAGGTGGAAGAAGGATGAGAGGTCAGTGGGAGAAGAGGGAGAAGCCTGGGAAGAGGAGGTGTCAGAAGCTGAAGGGGCAACAGGGCATAGTGAGCTGGGAGACTCTGTGGCAAAATGCAGTCCAGAATCAGAGGCAGAAGAGGAAGGAGGCGAGTGGGAGGAGGGAGGTCAAGAGGCAGAGGAGAGTCAGGAGAAGGAGGAGCCACCGGGGGCTCCCTCTCCTTCTGCCAGAAGCCCCCCTCCCTGCTTGTGTCTCAGAGCCAGGAGGCGTCTGACAATGGAGGAGCAAAGGCAGGCTGCACACTGGCGCACTGTTCAATCATATGCCAGAAACCCCAGAGAGGAGGGGAGTTAGAAACTTGTGGGGAGCTGGGGGCCTTCACTCTCAGCAATTGATTTTGTGGAGGAAGACACCGTTATAAAATTCGACTCAGTATTGATCCAGGCAGAACTCCAATGTATAGTTAGCAGAGTAAAACCTAAACATGTTACAGGATTCCCAAAAATAGACCAGAGGCAATTGTATTTCATCCGGCGGAGCTTTAACTGCTACTGAAGGCAAATGAGGATACTGGTCACAAATCCAAAATGTACAGGATTGGCCCTCTCCATAATAAATCCAGTTGCAGCAGACTTAAACTTAACTTATAATAAGTCTAAACCTTAACACTAAGCATGCTATGTACAGAACACCAGAAGGAAGAGAGAGAGAAAGAAAGAAACCCGGGCTCCTTCTGGCCTCTTCTTATAGTCAGCATGACCTTGACAGAAGAGATGACAGAACCTCTTTAACCCAGCTGTACTCAGCTTCTCTGAAGGAATAACCCAAACACCAGGAACCTTCTGCTTGTTTCTTTTATTCAGAGAAGCTTCCGGAACCCTCTTGAACTAACTAGAATAGAAAAGATCAATATCAGATCCATACTTTCTGCACTAAGAAATGCAAAGTGACAGACCCTCAGGGAATGAGCTGCTCTTCTCATTCGGCCTGAAGCTCAGCCAAGTCTGTGAATATTGTGTTCTTGCTGATAAAGAGTTAACTCCAGCTGTGAACTGTGGGTTTTCCTGCCCATACAACTCTGTGGCGCCAGCTGTCAGGGAGGATTCGGAGGAGTAATGGACAGAAGAGGCAGAACAGGGGGCGGAGAGCAGTCAGGGGGAGCCGGGGCTCAGGGATGCTGAAGATCCCCTCAACCACCTAGAGGCTCAGGGAGGAAGCTGAGACTTCGGAAGGGAGGAGGCTTTCAAATCAGCACAGACAAGAAGGGAAATGAAACGTAAGGATCAAAGACGTCTTGCGCGGGAATCGTAGGAAGCCCGAATCTGACTCAACAGGTTTGGACGCGTAATTCTGAACTGTAGCTGTTTCTTGTATATGTCTAATAAAGACTCTAAGTACCACGCTGACTATGCCAGAGTGTTACTGCGAAGGGGAAACACCACCTTTACACCAGCCTTCTGAATGTCGCCAGTAGGATTCATCTGTAGTTGCTGTTTTCATGGAATCCTAGAGTTGAAAGAGACCCCAAAGGTCATCAAGTCCCACCCCCTGCATTGCAGGAGTCTCAGCTAGATCATCCAAGACAGATGGCCATCCAGACTAGGCTTCTTGTATTTCTATATTAATCACTGAATACAAAAAATGGCTTCTAAGCTTTGGATACCATAACCAACAGTGTCCAGGATTCACCTGGCCAGCCCCATTGCTGCAAAATGGGGCCTGCCCCCCACTCCTCCCCCTCTCCATGCCCCCATGAACCCCTTGAATTTGGCTCCAGGGCACTGGGAGGGAACTTCCCAAAACAGCACATGAGGAGAGGAGAAAGTGGATCCTTCCATTTGGGAAACTGGGATGCTTGCGTAGGCGGAATGACTTGAAAAACACCAACTGGAGTACCACCTATTTACAAAAAATGACTGCTCCCAGTCACCAGTCTAGCTGCCGCATTCTGGATTAGTTGTAGTTTCCGGGTCACCTTCAAAGGTAGTCCCAGGTAGAGCGCATGGCAGTAGTCCAAGCAGGAGATAACCAGAGCATGCACCACTCTGGCGAGACAGTCTGCGGGCAGGTAGGGTCTCACCCTGTGTACCAGATGGAGCTGATAAACAGCTGCCCTGGACACAGAATTGACCTGCGTCTCCATGGACAGCTGTGAGTCCAAACTGACTCCCAGGCTGCGCACCTGGTCCTTCAGGGGCACAGTTGGCCCATTCAGGACCAGGGAGTCCCCCACACCTGCCCACCATCTGTCCCCCAAAAGAGTACTTTATGTCGTGTCAGGATTCGACCTCAATCTGTTATAACAGAGCATTGTGTAGCAGATCATATTGATCCTGTCTCAGAGGAGGACATTTCCCTTTTTCTTTTAGGGTCCAGTGTGCTTTGAAGATGTTGCTGTTTGTTTCACGGACGAGGAGTGGGCGTTGCTGGATCCTGACCAGAGAGCTCTGCATAACGATGTCATGGAGGAGAATCGTGGGATGGTGGCCTCTCTTGGTAAGGCTCCCTGTGGGATCGTCCTATCTGCCTGGAAATTCAAAAAATACCTCTATGTAACAAACCTCATATATTTTCACAGAGCTCAACAGCGCCCAATACAACACCTGGGAACCTAACACCCCCACAATAAACCTTGAACAGCAAATTGCAGTTTTTTCTGTGAACCATCTTCCTCCAGTTCTGCCTTTTTATACCACGGTTGGGCTTGTCTGAACTGCCCAGGCATCTTAAATGTCAGCTTCAGAGTTGTTAGGAAAGATAGAATCATAGAGTTGGAAGAGACCACAAGGGCCATCGAGTCCAACCCCCTGCCAAGCAGGAAACACCATCAGAGCACTCCTGACATATGGTTGTCAAGCCTCTGCTTAAAGACCTCCAAAGAAGGAGACTCCACCACACTCCTTGGCAGCAAATTCCACTGTCGAACAGCTCTTACTGTCAGGAAGTTCTTCCTAATGTTTAGGTGGAATCTTCTTTCTTGTAGTTTGGATCCATTGCTCCGTGTCCGCTTCTCTGGAGCAGCAGAAAACAACCTTTCTCCCTCCTCTATGTGACATCCTTTATATATTTGAACATGGCTATCATATCACCCCTTAACCTCCTCTTCTCCAGGCTAAACATGCCCAGCTCCCTTAGCCGTTCCTCATAAGGCATCGTTTCCAGGCCTTTGACCATTTTGGTTGCCCTCCTCTGGACACGTTCCAGTTTGTCAGTGTCCTTCTTGAACTGTGGTGCCCAGAACTGGACACAGTACTCCAGGTGAGGTCTGACCAGAGCAGAATACAGTGGCACTATTACTTCCCTTGATCTAGATGCTATACTCCTATTGATGCAGCCCAGAATTGCATTGGCCTTTTTAGCTGCTGCGTCACACTGTTGGCTCATGTCAAGTTTGTGGTCAACCAAGACTCCTAGATCCTTTTCACATGTACTGCTCTCAAGCCAGGTGTCCCCCATCTTGTATTTGTGCCTCTCATTTTTTTTGCCCAAGTGCAATACTTTACATTTCTCCCTGTTAAAATTCATCTTGTTTGTTTTGGCCCAGTTCTCTAATCTGTCAAGGTCGTTTTGAAGTGTGATCCTGTCCTCTGGGGTGTTAGCCACCCCTCCCAATTTGGTGTCATCTGCAAATTTGATCAGGATGCCCTTGAGTCCATCATCCAAGTCGTTGATAAAGATGTTGAATAAGACCGGGCCCAAGACAGAACCCTGTGGCACCCCACTAGTCACTCTTCTCCAGGATAAAGAGGAACCATTGATGAGCACCCTTTGGGTTCGGTCAGTCAGCCAGTTACAAATCCACTGAGTGGTAGCATAGTCAAGACCACATTTTACCAGCTTCTTTACAAGAATATCATGAGGCACCTTGTCAAATGCCTTGCTGAAATCAAGGTAGGCTACATCCACTGCATTCCCTTCATCTACCAGGCTTGTAATTCTGTCAAAAATGAGATCAGGTTAGTCTGACATGACTTATTTTTCAGAAATCCATGCTGACTATTGGTGATCACAGCATTCCTTTCTAGGTGCTCACAGACTGTTTGCTTAATGATCTGCTCCAGAATCTTCCCTGGTATTGATGTCAGACTGACTGGGCGGTAATTATTTGGGTCCTCTCTTTTCCCCTTTTTGAAAATAGGGACAACATTTGCCCTCCTCCAGTCTGCCGGGACTTCACCTGTTCTCCAGGAATTCTCAAAGATGACTGCCAGTGGTTCTGAGATCACATCTGCCAGTTCTTTTAATACTCTTAAGATAAGTAGCTTCTGTCAGGTTTTCTGAAGAAGAAGAAGAGTTTGGATTTGATATCCCGCTTTATCACTACCCGAAGGAGTCTCAAAGCGGCTAACATTCTCCTTTCCCTTCCTCCCCCACAATAAACACTCTGTGAGGTGAGTGGGGCTGAGAGACTTCAGAGAAGTGTGACTGGCCCAAGGTCACCCAGCAGCTGCATGTGGAGGAGCGGAGACGCGAACCCGGTTCACCAGATTACAAGTCTACCACTCTTAACCACTACACCACACTGGCTCTTTCTGTTTTTGTTTTTGCTGCTGTCAGTCTTGGGTTGACCAAAGAGACGCCTGACATTGGCGATGGAGGGGATGCCATGACTGGGCCAACCAAAATCCGTCCCAGAGGAGAGCCAGGCTGATTGAACCTCAGGTAGTAGAATCAGTGATAATTGTTGCGTTCGCAAAGTAAAGGAAGGATTGAACTCTGATTAATAAGAATACACACAGAGGCTTGAACCAGCAAGACTCTGGGAAGGGTGCGTATAATCGTGTCTCTCTGTGCTTGTCCGTCCGATCTCCGCAGCCCCCGGCCCAGGCCGTTTTATTCACAAAAGAACTTTTTACAGAGTGTTCGTAAGAACCAATCAGATTTCTTCTGAGCATTTCAACAAACCCACGTGGGGAGAAAGTTAAACTACTAAAACTAATTAAGCACAGGGTAAACAAAGAACAGAACTACAAAGAAGAGCATCTGGCAACCCCGGAGGTAATAAACAAGCAATACACATATGATAAGGAGGATGGCCAGGAGGACAGTGACCATTATCACCTTCATGTGAAACCTGTTTCCTGGCCCTAAGATTAACATCCTAAGATTACCTATTAGAAAACTACAAAGACGAAACTGGCCAGTCTTTGAGGACACAGGACGCCTGCCTGTCGAAGTGTGTACGTGATTCGTGAAGAGCAGGGAGAAATGGGCAGCAGAGGCCAAAGGGCATGGAAAGGGCACGAATGTAGAATCTTATGGGATTTAATCAGAAATTATCGTCAATATATCAAACCCAGTCAACACAATGCTTTCATCGTGGACACGATGGCTTGATGTATATTTTATAATTCCTCATGGTAATCCCATCTGATCCCTACAATAATAATAATAGTGATAGTAATAATTTTTATTTATCCCTGTACCATCTGACTGGGTTGCACCCAGCCAACACATATATAAACATGAAACATTAATAACAACAATCTGATCCCATATAAAAAGTACATTAACTTTAAATGAACAACTTATACTAGTGGCTAAAATCATGGAAACTTATTTAAAAGTGTGTTTCCAAAGTTCGATGGCTCATAACACCAATTTTGGGGGGAGTGATACCATAGGAAAGATAATTTAATGAAAATTGCAATGCAATAACTTTTATGAAGGAGTATTTATTAGAACAGCAGTCATTAAAAGAAATGTGAAACACATAGAAAAAAGGAGATATATAGATATTCTCACCATGTCAATTAATACTGACTTTGGTAACCTTCAGCTTTAATTCTGGCCTTACAACGCCTTCTCATGGAGTGAAGCAAGTTTTTTAGTTCTGCAGCTGTAATAATGTGAAACCCAGATGGAATTATTGCCTCTACTAATTGGGCTTTATTGCTGGGTTGCTTCTGACTAACAAGTTTCTTTAGTCGGCTCCCAAGATTTTCGCTTGGCCTATTCCCAGGCCATTCCAGCAGTGGAATAGGATTTCACATTCAGAACGCTTCAGGCTCAAGTATTTGATTTATGTATTTGGGGGCATTTACGTTCCCATTAATGACACAAATTCTGCCCACACCTTTTGCTGTCATACAACCCCAGATCATCACACTGTCTGGGTGTTTCACGGTCGGTGTAATGCAAGTAGGATGTAAATCTCCTCCGATTCTCCTCCTCGCGTATTTCATGCCCTCACTACCAAGCAAGGAGATTGGGGTCTCATCGCTCCAAATAACACTGTCCCGTTGTTCCGCTGTCCAGTTACAATGGGTTTTATTTTTATTTTATTTTTTAAAATAATTTTTATTAAGATTTCAGTAAAAGATTAAACATAAAAACATAAAAAAGAAGTACACAAATACAAAGTACATAATCCAAAGAAGAAAAAAGAAAAAAAACCACAGAGAACAAAAAACAAAAAAAGAAACAGAACAATTAAAAACAATCACCTTTTCATTTCTGTTTTTAAATTTACTTATTTTCTGGACCTCCTCATACCTCCCTCTTTTGTATTCCAGTCCAAATTGTTTGTCCAGCAATTTCTTTTCCACTTTTTAATCCCAATCTTTAATCTTAATATAATATAGCATTAAAATTTTACCTCTTAAAATACCGAATTTCCATTTCCTTAAACTTCTTTAATCCTAATCCAATCTTAATCTATCTATAACTTTAAATCCTGTACAGCTGGAAACCACTTATTTTCAATCCAACATCACTCTAGCATTCTTTAGTTTTGCAATGTTTCTGTAGATAATCTTTGAATTTCTTCCAATCTTCCTCCACCGACTCTTCTCCCTGGTCACGGATTCTACCAGTCATTTCCGCCAGTTCCATGTAGTCCATCAGTTTCATCTGCCATTCCTCCAGCGTGGGAAGTTCTTGTGTCTTCCAATACTTTGCGATAAGTATTCTTGCTGCTGTTGTTGCATACATAAAGAAGGTTCTATCCTTTTTTATCACCATTTGGCCGACTATGCCCAAGAGAAAGGCCTCTGGTTTCTTAGGAAAGGTATATTTGAATACGTTTTTTAATTCTTTATATATCATTTCCCAGAAAGCCTTAATCTTTGGGCACGTCCACCAAAGGTGAAAAAATGTACCTTCAGTTTCTTTACATTTCCAACATTTGTTATCGGGCAAGTGATAAATTTTGCAAGCTTGACTGGGGTTATGTACCACCTGTATATCATTTTCATAATATTCTCTCTTAAGGCATTACATGCCGTAAATTTCATACCTGTGGTCCACAACTGTTCCCAGTCAGCAAACATAATGTTATGTCCAACGTCTTGTGCCCATTTAATCATAGCCGATTTTACCGTTTCATCCTGAGTGTTCCATTTCAGCAGCAAGTTATACATTCTTGACAAATTCTTAGTTTTGGGTTCTAACAGTTCAGTTTCTAATTTAGATTTTTCCACCTGGAAGCCAATTTTCTTGTCCAATTTAAATGCCTCCATTATCTGAAAAAAATGAAGCCAGTCTCGCACTTTGTTTTTTAGTTTTTCAAAACTCTGCAATTTCAGTCTATCTCCATCTTGTTCCAAAATTTCCTAATATTTCGGCCATTTGACCTCCATATTGAGCTTTTTCAAGGCTTTCGCTTCCATTGGTGACAGCCACCTTGGGGTTTTATTTTCTAACAAATCCTTATATCTTACAATGGGTTTTAGCCCAGTTTAATCTTTTCCACCTTTGCTTGAGAGATAATGGCTTTTCCCTTGGAATTCTAGCATTTAGACCAGTCCTTGCACTCAACTTCACCTTCCATTGCCCCATGTCATCTTGTAAACACCCAGATGATATTCTTCTGTCATGCAGACACAGTCTCTCCATTCTTCGATCATCACTTGCTGTTGTGCACCTTTTCCTGCCTTTACCAGTCTGATTTTGTAGTGACTGAGTCTCCTTATGTTGTTCTTTAGTCGTTTAGTCGTGTCCGACTCTTCGTGACTCCCTGGACCAGAGCACGCCAGGCCCTCCTGTCTTTCCACTGCCTCCCGCAGTTTGGTCAAACTCATGCTGGTAGCTTCGAGAACACTGCCCCAACATTTCATCCTCTGTCGTCCCCTTCTCCTTGTGCCCTCCATCTTTCCCAACATCATGGTCTTTTCCAGGGAGTCTTCTCTTCTCAGGAGGTGGCCAAAGTATTGGAGCCTCATCTTCAGGATCTGTCCTTCCAGGGAGCACTCAGGGCTGATTTCCTTCGGAATGGAGAGGTTGGATCTTCTTGCAGTCCATGGGACTCTCCTTATACCTCTTCACAAATATAGAAAGGCCAGCTTTGGTTAAGTTTTCCTCAATCTTCTTCTTTTTTCTTTTTTTTAAATGAATATTTATTGAATTTTATAATAAATAAAAATCTCAATCATCATGTTATATACAATTGTTCTCCCTCCTGTCCTCCGGACTTCCCTCAACTCCCCTTCTACTGAGTTATTTAGTTTTATTTATTGTGTCCTGCTTTAGATAAAAGTAAATTCCCCTATCATTTCTCTAATTTTTCTGTTACTATAATAAAGTTTATTCAGACCCTGCCAGTTGCTGTTTCTGCAAATAACCTGTAAATGGTTCCCAAACTTTTAAAATCCTTTTTGTCCTTCTCTTGTAGTTTCTCTGTTAGCTTAGCCAATTCTGCATAATTCATCAGTTTTTCTTACCATTGTTCTTTTGATGGTATTCCACCTTCCAATTTTGTGCAGTCAAGATTCTTGCCGCTGTTATAGTATACATAAATAATGTCCATTTTTCTTTGGCAGCTCTTGATTTGAGATACCTAACAGAAAGGCTTCAGGCTGTTTACCAAAGTTCATTTTAAACATTATTTTCAGTTCATTATATATCATTTCCCAATATTTTTTAATGCATTTGCATTCCCACCACATATGATAAAACGTTCCTTCCTTTTCTTGGCATCTCCAGCATCTCTTATTTTCTTTCTTAAACATATTTGCCATTTTCACTGGTGTGATATACCATCTATACATCATTTTCATGTAATTCTCTATTAATAATGTACAATCTGTAAATTTTACATCAACTTTCCACAATATAACATAACACACTAACAAAAGTCAAGCTAAGCAAGTTGTGCTTCCTTTTTCTGGTCATTCCGCTATGACATTTGATAGAATACAGATAATTACATTCTTCATTAAATTATCTTTACATTGATACATAATTTTGTGGTATTACTCTAAACGAAGTTGTGTTACGAGCCATCAAATATCTGAAATACACTTTTTTCCCAAAAGGCTTCACAATTTTGGCCACTACTGTATATCAAACAAATCAACATTCAACAATGCATCAGAATATATTAATAAAAATGTTGGCTAATGACAACCAACAAAGGCAATGAACAAAGACCCAACTCCCTTCAGTTCTTCTTGATTTGTTTCTGAGGCTCTAATCCCTTTTTGTCTCCATTGCAGATTTTGATGAATTGGAAAACAAGAACAAGGATGAACATGACAAAACCCCCAGAGAGGAGAAGCCACGCAAAAATTTGGAGTATGGAGAGAGCTGCAGTCAGAGCTCCCATTCCACTTCCCAACAAAGAATTCTCATTGGAAAGAAACCCTATCAGTGCATGGAATGGGGAAAGAGCTTCAGTCAGAACTCCAATCTCACTAAGCATCAGAAAATTCATACAGGAGAGAAACCCTATCAGTGCATGGAATGTGGAAAGAGCTTCAGGCAGAGCTCCTCTCTCACTTCACATCGAAGAATTCATACAGGAGAGAAACCCTATCAGTGTGTGGAATGTGGAAAGAGCTTCAGGCAGAGCGCCAATCTCACTTCCCATCAAAAAATTCATACAGGAGAGAAACCCAATCAGTGTGTGGAATGTGGAAAGAGATTCAGGCAGAGCTCTCTCTCACTTCACATCGAAGAATTCATACAGGAGAGAAACCCTATCAGTGCGTGGAATGTGGAAAGACCTTCAGTCTGAGCTTCTCTCTCACTTCCCATCGAAGAATTCATACAGGAGAGAAACCCTATCAGTGTGTGGAATGTGGAAAGAGCTTCAGTCAGAGCTCCTCTCTCACTTCCCATCGAAGAATTCATGCAGGAGAGAAACCCTATCAGTGTGTGGAATGTGGAAAGAGCTTCAGTCAGAGCTCCTCTCTCACTAAGCATCAGAGAATTCATACAGGGGAGAAACCCTATCAGTGCATGGAATGTGGAAAGAGCTTCAGGAAGAGCTCAGATCTCACTAAGCATCAGAGAATTCACACAGTGGAGACCCCGTATCAGTGCATGGAATGTGGAAAGAGCTTCAGGAAGAGCTCAGATCTCACTAAGCATCAGAGAATTCATACAGGAGAAACCCTATCAGTGTGTGGAATGTGGAAAGAGCTTCAGTCATAACTCTTCTCTCACTTCCCATCGAAGAATTCATACAGGGGAGAAACCCTATCAGTGTGTGGAATGTGGAAAGAGCTTCAGTATGGGCTTCCGTCTCACTTCCCATCGAAGAATTCATACAGGAGAGAAACCCTATCAGTGTGTGGAATGTGGAAAGAGCTTCAGAAGGAGCTCCCATCTCACTTCCCATCAAAGAATTCATACAGGAGAGAAACCCTATCAGTGTGTGGAATGTGGAAAGAGCTTCAGGGAGAGCTCTGATCTCACTAAGCATCTGAAAATTCATACAGGAGAGAAATCCTATCAGTGCATGGAATGTGGAAAGAGCTTCAGTATGGGCTCCCATCTCACTTCCCATCAGAGAATTCATACAGGAGAGAAACCCTATCAGTGTGTGGAATGTGGAAAGAGCTTCAGTAGGAGCTCCCATCTCACTTCCCATCAAAGAATTCATACAGGGGAGAAACCCTATCAGTGTGGGGAATGTGGAAAGAGCGTCAGGACGAGCTCTCATCTCACTAAGCATCAGAGAAGTCATACAGGGGAGAAACCCTATCAGTGTGGGGAATGTGGAAAGAGCTTCAGTCATAACTCCTCTCTCACTAAGCATCAGAGAATTCATATAGGGGAGAAACCCTATCAGTGCGTGGAATGTGGAAAGAGCTTCAGGAAGAGCTTCAGTCTCACATCCCATCAGAGAATTCATGCCAAGGTTGGAAAAACCATTAAAAAGCTTTAGGAGCCAGGCAAATCCAGCACCTTGTTAACCAGGCCTTTGGCTTATTGACCTCTAATGCCCTTTTACAATGTGGTAGTGAGGGGGGTTACAGATGTGCATTTTGTATTTTTATATTGTGTTTTTATGTTGTAACCGTCCTGCGACATGTGGGAACAGTAGTCAACTTTTAGAGGCCAAGGGAGTTTTGCCCCCCAATAGTATATTTGAGGGGGCCATCCCCCCCAGTTGGTAGGCATCGCCATTCCAATGCCCTTTATGCATCATGTGATTGATTGTGCAAGGCAGGCCTTACCTGGCCCCTTCCACCAATATTTTATTCAAGTTGGCACCACTGGGCCGGGTGGTAGACAAATTAAATAAATACATAAATCACCTTCCTTTGCACATGTTTCAGCCTGTCAATATTCTTATTTATTATCATTTTTAATATTTATGTGCCTTTCATCTGAAGATTTCACAACAGAAACATACAGGATGAAAGATTGGCTTTCTCAAAAACAAGAAAAGCCAGAGAAATCTCTCCTCCCCTTTTTCTGGATGGAGTTACAAACTTTGTTGGTCAGGGGACAGCTGTGGAAATAATGCATCTTTAAATAATTTGGGACAAAAGGTGAATACCAATTCAGAAACCACCCAGAAACTGATACAGGAATCTACTTTGATACGGCAAACTGCAGATGAAGTCAGGGAAAAAACCCTTGCTGCTGAATCTAAAGTAATACAACTGGAGAGGAGAGTCCCATCCATACAAAGACAATTTGATGAACATAAGCTGACATTCGTCATGATTGAACTTAAAGAAGAACGGATGAATTTGAGGACCAGAGCCCTATCTGAATTGGAAAAGGAAAGCCTGACAGAGTCTCAGGAGGCGACAGGACTAACATTGGTTGAGAAAGAGAGATATTTAGGGGTTAGTATGACCGCCAAAAATGTGAATCTGCTTAAGGACAACTGTGAAGGATGTTGGATTGAAGAGAAGGGGGATTTGGAAATATGGACAAATCAGAAGTTGTTACTGTTGGGTCGAGTTATTGTGGTGGGGATGAGGGCTGCTGTGTTGCTGGGGATGTTGCTTTTGTTTCAAACATTGCAAGCTCTGGATGGGATGGAGGGTCTCAGGAGGTGGCAGTGGATGCTCCTAGAGTTGTTTGGCAGGGCAGGAAGCCTCGAGTCAAACTTAAGATATTGATGGATGCTAAAGAAGGAGGTGGACCTGCCCTGCCAGACCTTTAAACTTCGTTGTGAACCATCTGCCTTTTGCTGGTTGAGAGAATGGTTGCTTCTTGAAAACACTGAAGTGTTGGACAATGGCAGACGAAGTTGATGGACTATAGGGAATTGGCGGAAATGACTGGCAAGATCCGAGACCAGGGTGAAGAGTCGGTGGAAGAAGATTGGAAAAGTTTAAAGACTATTTATAGAAATATTGTAAAACTAAGGAATGTTAGAAAAATGTTGGAATGAAATTACATGGCTTTAGTAGAAATGTCATAAGGAATTAAGTATAAATAGATTAATAGAAAATTAAAGGAAAAGTATGGCAAAAATGTGTTAAGATAATTATAGAACAGAAAACAGAGTAAGATGGAAAGGAATTGCTGAAACAAATAATAGAAGTGGAATACAAAAAGGGAGGTGTGAGGAAGTTGCTGGAAATAAGTGAATGAAATATAAAATATTGAAAATGTTTGAGATGTTTTTAAATTGTTTTTGTTTGTTTTTGCTTGATTTGTTAGTCCATGTAGCGTTTTTGTATTGTATTCGTATTGGTTTTTTTTTCCTTTCTTTTTTCCTTTTTCTTTTTGTTTGTAGTGTTGTGTTGGAAATTTTGAAAAAGTAATAAATATCATTTTAAAAAATATATATTCTACCTTTGGTCAGGCCCCATCTAGAATCCTGTGTTCAGTTCTGGGCATCACAATTTAAGTATACAAAAGGTGGGGGAACACAATCCGTATTCCTTTTATAACATGTGGCCAATGTTTATTGAATACATAAATTGTGAAGACTGTTGCCAAAATCTACCCAGCACTCGTGGGAAAATGTGGCGTGATCTTTTAGAATAATCAATTGAAACTTTAACACATGGCAGGATGAAAGTCTGCAATTCCATGAGGACAAACTATTTGTTGTTTACTGTTGTAACCATTGCTTTCTTTAAAATTATCTTTTATACCATGAAAATAAATAAAAGCATAGGTTTAATTTCATCTGGAGACGGGATCGCCCATTATTTTCACATAGTCTAAGTGTTTATTCAGGTGAGGCTGAATGAAACACTAGAGAAAAATCCTTCTTGACTGCGTCTGCTTTGTTTCAAATATAAGTTCACTTACCCATGTTACGGAAATGACGGGGGGGGCATCTTTATAGTTTTTGCAATGTTACAAATATTAGGCCTGAATGTATGCTTTTGACTTGACAGCGCAGGGAAGATACCTAGCTTTATAAATTCGTAGAAAATCCATACTTTAACCGACTCTCCTCATTCCAATGCCATTTTAACCCTGCAAGAAAGGTGAATTTGGGCTCCACCTCCCTCCATGAACCAAGAAGCAGGAAGTCACGTAGGCAGTAGGAAGAGGGCATCTTTCCCCAAGCCTGAGAGCACATACACGGCCCCCCACCCAGGGAGTGACGGGGGGGGGCAACAATAGACATCCACAGAGGCAATTTAGCAAGTCAGGTGTTCTGAAAGCCCATCTCCGGACAAGTCCTGAGGGTAAGGAGATGCCAAGGGTTTCCTTGTTCTTTGGGTGATGGGGACTTAAGAGGTGTTGTGAGCGGTGTCTGGCCCCTGCTGAACTTGTGTATATCTTATATCCCCTCCTTTGTGATGTAGTGTGGGCCTATTCATGATGCCCTGTGAAATGTACTCTGGGTAAAAGTCAAGGTAACCCTTTGTTCTGGGTTCTTGCTCCTGTGGGGACCTGTTGGGCAACAAGAAAGATCAAGGTCTACTGACCGCTGTTTTGCTCCAAATTACTTGGCTGGAACTTCCTTCTTTTACCAACCGCATGGATCCATGAGGGACTTGCACCCCAACTGGCTGGGCTGATGAGTCGTCTCTCCACCTGGAATTTCCCGTAACACCCATAAAAGTGTATCATATTTATCGCTGAGAAATCGTACCATACTCAGCTTACGGATCTCAACCCCAAGAAACCCCACACAGAGTAGCTGCCTTTCCCCCAATTTCTTAGCTAGCAATAACGGATATTGAGAAGGAAGAAGAGAGAGGTAGGCATCCTTTCGGCGATGCTGCCCCGCTCCAGTTTGCCTCTGTCGGCCCCCAATGCCCCTTTCCTGTGGTCCCTGAATGGCTCTCTCCTCATCCGTCTGTCTCGGGAGACAATGGAGGACGGCTCAAGCGGTGGGGAGATTGCAAGGCCTGCTGGGGCAGCTGGCTGCTGTGACGGACAGCAGAGCCAGAGCAGGGTCTGGGGTGCAGTGCCTCACCATTCCACCAGAGGGCCAGAGCCTCTTTCTGATTGGCTACCCAGAGGGGGGTGGCACCAGCACTTTTGGAGGGAAAATAAAGAGAGCCGTTTCTGAGGGGATTTGAGATGGGAGAGAGGGAAGGTTGAGAGAAGATGGGGATGAGGAGAGGGTGGAGGGAGGGAGGGAGAAGTGGCTCTGATCTGAGTGCATCATCCGCTCTGAGGAGAATATCTATGGAGCCAGAGGAAGGAGCCTCACAGCTGAGAAGGGGAGACCATGTTGAGGGTCTGAAGGGAGTATTCAGATGGGAGTGAAGCTGGAGGGAGAAGCTGTGGGAAGACTCTCCTCTTCTTCTGGAGTCTCCTTCCAGTCAGGAGGAGAGAGATCTTCTAGGAAAAGGA